CACAGAGAAATCAAGATATAGCTAAGCTAGAAACTCCTTTCCTGTTGGCTAGGGTTCACAATGCCAGAAGATGCTAAGTAGGCTGCTGAGGAAAAAAAAAAAAAAAAAAAAACCCCTATAAAAATTCTACCTCAGTTAAACACATTTCATGGGGCAATATTGACTCATCAGGTAAAATCGCCCTCTTGGGAAATATGGAAAAGCAATCAGAATAGCAAGAACAATTCTGAAAATGCAAAAAAAAAAAAAAAAAAAAAACCTCTATCAACATTCTCACTCAGTTGAAGACTATGTATGGTGCAGTATTGACTCATCAGGTAAGATACGCCTACTGGTGCTATTAATAGTGGCATGACTATTTTGGGGATAATCATCCATGTTGTGATTGGATTTGATATATAATGGCTATTATAAACCTGGTCAAAAGCCTATGGATGTGGAGGGCACAAGCCTATGAGGGAAACAGCACACTACCTTTGTAAATGAACACATTGTCAAACCTTTAGACGAGGGTGCTCTCAGTCTGGAAAAGAGAAGCTCCTTTTTTGTATAGGATAGCAGTTAATGTAGAGACTCATATCTGGTCAAAGTCCTGAGAAAAAAAATGATTGCTGAGTGCTCAGACTTAAACTGGATATCTGCACCCCCCTCACCAAAGGCCAGGGAACAACACAAAAGAGAGGAAGAAAAGAATTTAAAAATGGGAGGATGAGAAAGATTATCATGAAATGTTGCCATCTAGATATGACATTGCCACTGCAACCATGAACCCACAGCAGCTATGAAGAGAACCACAAGATTGGATTCTTTAACTTTCCATCACAGATGGAAGAGTTCCCATGAGACCCCATCCCTTCCTGAGGAGCTAATGACTATTAATGATTGCTAGGGAAAAGTGGGGGAGATTATCGTTTTCTCTAATGGTGTAGCCAAAGACTAGGTGGGAATGCCTCTTGATCAAGGGGAAAAAGAGATTCAGCAGGAAAGAAAGAGGGATACCAGACAGTAATGGGAGTTGAATATAATCACAATACAGTGTGTGTTGTGTGTGTGTGTGTGTGTGTAAATAAAATTGTTAAAAAAATTTTAAAGAGAAAACTTCGAAACATTTATAGATAGAAATTAGGTGTGGGACTGGAGAGATGGCTCAGCAGTTAAGAGCATTAGCTGCTCTTGCAGAGGACCTGGGTTTGAATGCCAGCACCCACATGGCAGCTAACAACCACCTGTAATTCCAGTTCCAGGGGAATAAAAGGCCTTCTGACCGCCTCAGGCATTGTATGACATGGGTACACTTACATATATGCAGGCAATACACTCATACACATAAAATAAAAATATTAAAATTTTTTTTAAATTAGAGCCAGGCGTGGTGGTGCACGCCTTTAGTCCCAGCACTCGGGAGGCAGAGTCAGGTGGATCTCTGTGAGTTCAAGGCCAGCCTGGTCTACAAAATGAGTTCTGGGCCAGCTGGGGCTATAGGGAGACATCCTTCTCAAAAAGATTCCCCTCCAAAAAAAAAAATTTTTTTTTTGTGTCTTTTTGAGACATCTCCCTGTAGCCCTAGTTGTCCTGGAACTCACTATGTAGACCAAGCTGGCCTTAAACTCACAGAGATCCTCCTACCTCTGCCTCTCAAGTGCTGGGGAAATAATTTTTTAATTAAAAAAAAAAAAAGGAGTTAGGCATGGTGACACATATCCTTTAATCCTATCACTCAGAAGACCCAGGCAGGAGAATCGCTGTGAAAGGGACACCAGTCTGTTCTACACAGGAAATTCCCCAGAAGACTCTGTCTCAAAATAAACAAACAGAAAACCCCCAAACAAAACAAAACAAAAACATTTATAGACAGAATCAATAAAATAATTTAGGAAGGTGGCTAAACATACATGTCTGTGAATTTAAAACTTATATTAGCAAACATAAAATGGAAAAAATATAATATTTGCAGTAGTGACAAAGATAAGGCTTCTAACAGATATACAAAAAACAAAGCTGGGCGCAGTAGTGCACGCCTTTAATCCCAGCACTTGGGAGGCAGAGGCAGGTGGATCTCTCTGAGCTCAAGGCCAGCCTGGTCTACAGTGAGTTCCAAGCCAGCCCCACTACAGGGAGACCCTGTCTCAAAAAGACCAAATTAAGACAACAACAACAACAACAAAAGCACAAGAGGAGATTTAAGAGATTTTTGAGGAAAAATACCTTAGTGGAAGGCATTTAAAAATATATATATAGTACATAGTGCATAGAAAGATGTACTGTGATCAAGATGTTTATTTATAAAATAAAAAGTTAAATGTATGCATAAATGAAAATATATATGAAAAGTCATATAAAAATATATAAATGAGCTAGGCGTGGTGGCGCATGCCTTTAATCCCAGCACTCAGGAGGCAGAGGCAGGTGGATCTCTGTGAGTTCAAGGCCAGCCTGGTCTACATAGTGAGTTCCAGGACAGCTGGGGCTACAGGGAGACTCTGTCTCAAAAAAGACCAAAAAAAAATATATATATGAATGAAAAATCATATATATATATACACACACATACGATTATGATTCATATACAAGGCTAGTCCAATTCTTTTTTGGGGGGTTGTCTTTTTGAGACAGGGTCTCCCTTTAGCCTCAGCTGGCCTGGAACATGCTATGTAGACAAGGCTGGCCTCAATCTCACAGCAGAGATTCACCTGCCTCAGCCTCCTGAGTGCACCAGCATGCTTGGCTCCAATTCTTTTTTTTTTTTTTTTTTTTTTTTTTTTTTTTAAACAGGGTCTCCCTGTAGCCCCAGCTGTCCTGGAACTCACTATGTAGACCAGGCTGGCCTTGAACTCACAGAGATCCTGCCTCTGCCTCCAGAGTGCTGGAATTAAAGGCGTGCACCACCATGCCTGGCTCTGGCTATTCCAATTCTTTTTGTAATGCTTTACTTATTTACTTTTGTGTATATGTGCACACATGTGGTGGTCCGAGGGCAATTTACAGGAGCTGGTTCTCTCCTCCTATCATGTGAGTTCCAGGGATTGAACTCAGTCTATCAGGCTTAGAGTAAGCCATCTCATGGCCCCAAATTCATTAAATAATGGCTTCTGAATTTTTGTAGGGGTTATCTCCTATTCACAAATACTTAAGTAATTGGTATAAACTTAATCACTAATCATGGGTATTTTTCTGTAATTAAGCTGTAGTGAAAGTAAACACAGAACATACAGGATTTTGGTTGTTAGTGATGTCTATCAACAGGAAATATCATCTCCTTAAAGGCAGACATTTAGTCTGAAACAATAGTCAAGGAGGAAAAGAGACAAAACATATTCAGAATATGATCTTTTGGGGCTCAAAAGATGTCTTGAGTAGACCTATGTGTGGTCTTATTATAAATGTGTTATGGTTTGAAACTGAATTATCTTCTACTGGCTCATGTTTTAAATGCTTGATCCCTGTGTAGTGGCACTATCTTGAAAGGTTCCAGAAACACTGGGAAGTGGGGCTTATGTGGAGGTGAGTCACTGGGGACAGGTCCTTGGGGGTGTGTTATCCCTGCCTACTTACTGTCTTACTCTCTGCTTCCTGGTCCGCTGTGATATGAACAGCCTCTGCTATACACTCTTAACTCATGAACTCTGTGGCTCTACCATGTCTTCACTGCCATTATGGCCTCAGACCCTCTGAAGATGTGAGCCCAAATAAATCTTTCTTAAGTTGTTTCTGTCAGGTGCTGCATTACAGTGATGCAAAAGTAACTAATACAATATGTAAGATCCTTGAATAGCTGTCCAATGTGCTTTACGATACATCTGAATTATATCCGAATGTGATTAAATGAGTTATTTTTTTCTAGATCTAATTAATTCAAATTTTAGTTGATGCATATTGCAACCTAACCTTTGCACTATCTAAATGTCCTATTAGAGAATTAAAAATAATAGGGCTGGAGAGATGGCTTATCAGTTAAAAGCACTAGCTGCTCTTGTGGAGGACCCAGGTTCAGTTTCCAGCATCCATGCGGCAGCTAACAGCTATCTTTAACTCCACTTCCAGGGGACCTGACACCCTCTTCTGGCCTCTGCAGGTATTGCATGCATGGGTGCACTCATACATGCAAGCAAAAACTCACACACATAAAAATAAATAAATTTAATGATTGTGTTTTACTAGTTGCTAAAAACACTTAGCTGACATTTACTAAATCTATTAGGTGCCAGGCACTGTTTCAAGTGCCTAACATGTATTAAATTATTTAATGTCCACAACAATCCTATCAGGTGAACAACACCACTTTTAGGATTTTTACAGAAAGGAAAACTGAGATACAAGAAATTAAGTAACTTTCCCAATGTCACACAAGTAAGCAGAGAAGCCCAGAAACCTGTACCCAGCTTGTCTGTCTCCAGACCTCAACCCTTAGCCACTATGCTGTACTGCTTTCACAATGTTGAAAAGAAAAATGAAAATTTTTTTTCTTTTTTTTAATCTCATGTGTATAAGTGTATTGCCTGGATGTATGTGAGTGCACCCATGTCGTGCAATGCCACGGAAGTCAGAAGAGGGCTTTGGATTCCCTTGGAACTAGAGTTAAGGATGGTTTGTAGCTGCCATGTGGGTGCTGGGAATCGAACCCAGGTCCTCTGCAAGAGCAGTCAGTGCTCCTAACCGCTGAGCCATCTCTCCAGCCCCAGAAAAATGAAATTTTTATGAAGGACAAAAACTTCACCATTAAAGTTACTCTTAAGAGTTAAGTAAGCTGGGTATGGTGGCACACACCTTTAATCCCAGCACTAAAGAAGCAGAGGTAGGCAGGTCTCTGTGAGTTTGGGACCCTCCTGGTCTACACAGTGAGTTCCATACTGGCCAGAGCTACATAATAAGACCGTTTCCTTTAAAAAAAAAAAAAAAGGACCACAATACTAATACCAATAACAACTTAGCATAGGATGGTACTTCACAGCTATTTCAAAGTATGTCCTAGCCATGATTAATAGGTTTGAAGTTAGACAGACCTGGCTCTGAATCTTGACTGTGCCCTTTACAAGCTGTGTGACTTTGGACAAGTTTCATAACTTCACCAAGTCTCAGTTTCCTCATCTGTAAAATGAGAATAATGTCTTATAAAATTGTTGTTAATGACATAAGTACACATAATTAGAGGTCTTCAATTTTTGCCAGTAAACAAATTTATTATAATGATATAATAGGGATCATCCCTCCAAGTCACTGAATAACTGTAAAATCCACACACTTATGTAGATCAACTATCTTCTCTAATACACAACAAATAATTCCCATAAATAAAAGTCAAATACCTAGAGAGAAATTACTGAATTTTCCTTCCTTCCTTCCTTCCTTCCTTCCTTCCTTCCTTCCTTCCTTCCTTCCTTCCTTCCTTCCTTCCTTCCTTCCCTCCCTCCCTCCCTCCCTCCCTTCCTTTTCTTTTTTTCCCCAGTGGTGGGAATCAAACTCAGGACCTGGATCCAAACCCAATCACTGGGTCTTAGAAATAAAACACTGTATAAACATAGAAGAAAAAAAAAAGGATAAAACACTGCTACTTATTAACAACTCTTGCAAATCCTACTAAGCTCACAACTCTTCTAAGACTAGGAGCATTTAGTGACTAAAAGAGGAAGACAATGTCAAGAAGGATCCATTCCTGGCACTGACAGGAAAGAATTTTTATGGAAGAAAGAAAGTAGGATGAAAAATGTACTCAGGGCAATGCAAAGGAAACTTACTCAAAATGACTGAGAGTATCTCCATGATTAATTCTAAAATCTTATCTATATATTTTTTTCACATAAAAACTAAGATAAAAATAATTTTATTTTCTTATAGCAAATAGAAGTTTTGCAGAGTGTTAAAAAGCCATTTGGTTTGGAATCTCATTTTTTGTTTTCTTTATTTCTTCCAGAGTGCCAAAGAAAATATATGAATGGTAAAAGGTAGATATGAATTAAAATTACCAAACTGGGACTGAACTTTCATAAACGAAATGTGGTCAAAAGGAAATCTGTTTTCTTAAAAAATATTTATTAGACTACTATCCTCAGGCCTCTTGGGGTAAGTCTATAGCGCAGCTCTCCGCGCCGGGACTCCCTAAGCCTCATTCACCCTTTCACC